GTATGAACTCTGCTGCTTCCTTCAACTTGGCCATCACAATGTTGGTAGAATTAGGGCCCTTGGGGAGACAAAGCCACATGTGCCCCCATCTGCATGGAGTGTTCTCTGGGAGGGGCACCTTGTGCTAAGATCTCCATTGAACCACATTTGTTGCTACCAACATGTTGTCCCATCATGCACATCTGTCATCTCTCAGGCTGTCTCTGAGAGATAGTGGCATTTTGCAGTAAGTGTAACATATTCCAGGTCAATCCAAGGGATGTTTGGATCTATTTGATCAATAATGATAAAATACACAGGGGGGTCTCCTCCTGTTAATAAATGGAAAGAGTTGTTTTCCAAGACTTTCCATCTCTAATTCCCCAATCAATGGGAAAGGATTAACACTTTAAAATATACACATTGAATGACCAGGTAAGACAAATTGCTCATAATCCCCCAGGTTAGAAAGACTTAGATCTAACAGGACAAGCAATCAGGGGCTGTATTGAATGGTTAAAGGGTCTGTGTCCCTTCCTTGAATAATCAGATTTTCAATACAGCACAAATCAGAAAAAATTGTTTTTAAATACAAGTAATAAAATCTGTTAAAATAATGGCACAGCTCCCTCTCCCTTAAAAGCTTACACAGAGAAATATGTATGATAAAAACTACAAAGACTGAAATATGCAGTTATTGTGAAAAAGAGTTAATGACAGAACATTTTAAAGCTTAACTCTGCTACCTATAGCGTAATTCAAAGATACCTTCAGGTTTCCTCCTCCCTTTGTGAACTCAAACTCCTAATTGAAAAGCAGTCTGTGTTATCCAATATGATTGAAATAATTACACTTGGGTCAGGTGTAGGGTTCGGTTGCTTTGGATAGTTTCAAAAGATTCTCCCCCTTAGTCCTTATCTATTTGTCCCCTTAAGGATTTCTATTTCCCTTCAGGCAAACTAGGCAGCAGCAGCAGCAGCAATAATCTTATTTACAAAGGGCCAGGAGGGCAGAGGTTTGGAAGCCCCAAGGGCTGGCATTCAATAAGGTCCCTGTCATCCTGAGATCAGGGGGTCTGCCCCAGCCCAGGTGAATAATGACCAAGAACACTTTGTGACTGATGACTGCTCTGTTTGGGAAGCTAATTGATGTCCCTCTGTTCCAAGTTGAATAATGCCCTTTCTTGCAGTGACAGTAATGCCATCAAGAGGGAAAATATATGGCCGGTTAACAAGGAAACAGGATGTGGAGCCCCTACTACCACCCCTGGGTGCATAGCCTACAGGGCTAAGCAGGAAGTGATACTTATACATATGTATATAATGCTTTGTAAAAAAATCCTTTTGGATTAGTGGAACTAGGGAAAAGCCTACCTAGACTTTGACTTTTTTGACTAATATAAATATACTCAGGCCTCTGTAAGTGACAATTACTAGTTGTTTGACTCTGAGCAAGATTCTGTCAATCAAATGGGGATAATAATACTCCACGGAGTAGCTGAGAAAATTAAATGAGATGATGCATCCCCTAATAAATGAGATAAATGCTAACCATTGTTATCAGTGCCAAGTACAAGATAAGTTCTCTGTAAATGTTTGCTAAATTGCATTTTACAATTTCAACAAAGTACATTTCATTGGCCATTCAAGGAATTATTTCCTAGATGTCTTATTCTATGTACAAATTAAAAATAAAATGCAAGTTGAAAACTTTATTGTAGGAAATGGCCTAAAGGAATGGAGAAAAAAAAGAAACTATTACTCTAGATGGACTGGGAATGTAATTGTAGTGCCCAGCTCTGAGAATAAAAGAAATCAAACTTCTCCTTAGCCACTCTTTCATATACCCAATGGGAGTGATGATTCATTCTAGATAAGTAATAAAGAACACAAATTTCATTTATTTGGCATACAGAATGATCTTGATATAGTTCTTGAATTGCAGCTGTCTGGAAAATGAAGGGAAGAAAATGGAAGCATCTGGTTAGAAACATGAACCTCACCATATCCCATGCTCCCTCAATGTGGTGTGATGGGAACATCTATGACTCAGAACCAGAAGATCTGGAATTGAGATCAAGAAATGCAGCTTACTACTATCTATATGAACTGCACAAGACACTTGATTTCTTTGAGCCCAATAACAAGAGTACTTCAAAAAGTTCATGGAGGGGACCAGCATTGTTGTGTAGCAATGCTGGCATCCCATACGGACGCCAGTTTATGTCCTGGCTGCTCCACTTCCAATCCAGCTCTCTGCTGATGGCCTGGGAAAAGTGGCAGAAGTGGTGGTTGAATTACTTCAGTTTCTGCCACATATGTGGGAAACTTGGATTACGTTCCTGGCTCCTGGGTTTGGCCCTGGTAAGCCCTGGTTGTTGTGGTCATTCGGGCTATGAATCAGAGGACGGAATTCTCTCTCTCCTCTCCCCCTCTCTTTCTCTCTCTGTGTCCCTATCTCTCTGCCTGCCCCCAAATTTTAAGTTTCTTTTGGTGTAAAACATTTTGAATCCATGCAAGTGTTCTTCATTAATTTTCACACATTTCCCTGAAGTTCTTGAAGACCCCTTATACATAGAAATGTACTTTAAATATATGAGAAATGGAGCATTATTTTTACTAGGCATCCTGGTAGAGAGAGGTGGAATTTTTCACCTTTAAACCTGCTAGCACATGGGAAAAGTTCCTATAAATACCTGTATTTACTAAATATAGTTTTAAAGGAACAATGGAAGGCAGACAGGCAGGCACTGCTGTTTAATAAAAAATAATATGGGGTTTGAGATCAGAAAGGCCTGGTTTCTAACCTTAGCTATGTGGTCTTTACCTCACTAAGCTTGCCTTGTATCTATAACATGAAGTTAATAATATATGAGGGGACTTTGAAAAGTTTGTGGAAAATGGTTAGTGCGAAAAAAAAATTTAAATCCATGATTAGTTTTTTCTCATAACACACATTTTCAATGAACTTTTGGAAGACTCTTCATATACAGGATTTCTGTGAAGATATATATATATATGTATATATATATGTGTATATATATGTATATATGTATATATATATGTATATATATATATATATGGTGCTGTGACAACGCCTGCCACACAGTAGCGACAACAGAACATAGCTTCTTGACTTCTGATCATTAGCTAAAGAAGTGATGCAGAGATTAATTGAATAAGATAAAGTGAAGAACTGAGTATGAATTAATCTTAACACTTTACATTGATGTAGTCCTCATCAGTTTTCAAAGCTCTTCAGAACATTTTACATCATCTGATGTTACTAACACTTTCAGAGTTGCATTTTTACAGATGAGGAAATTCAATCAGAGGTTATGGTTTGTCCAATTCCAAACGACTAGAAACTAAGTGATCCAGAACTGCATCCTGGGTCGAATAATTCCTCCTCCAGTGAATTTCCCAGCACAGCAGCTGCCTCCGTCCATCAAAGCTGGGCATCTTTGACATTTGTCGTGATTCTGATGTTAGCCAAAAAGACTGTGTTGTGTAAGGAGCAGTTGAACAGTTTCAAATGGATCAGGCTTGCTCAAAGATGTAAAGAATTCTATTATTATTATCATTATCAAAATAAACACTTAAAGTGCTGAATTAGTCCTCTGTTTCTTAGGGTTAAGAGACAAATTAATTGCTCTACAAATATTTGAGCACCCATATTAAGAGAAATGAGCAAGGGGCTACAGTTAATACTTGTGAATCTCACTTTCTCATTTTTTCTCTTACGCTAAGATTGCAACTTTGATTACTCTCCCCACTTGTCAGTTCCTCCCTGTCCTTCCCTTTGACTTTGGATATGCCATGGGGACTATGTGTCCTCTACTCTCACATATTATTTAATTGTACTCAGTCTTCAGAAGTAGCTAACACAGCAGCCCAATGACCTGGACTACTAAGATGTTCTGAGTCCTGCCCATTGCACATATCTCATCACCTCCTAAGATGATCAGACATATAACATTCCAAATCTCCCTTATCAGCATTCCAGGCACAGGGAGTTGGGGAACAATAATGATGTGTGTTGTTCACTTTCTATAGTCCCATATGGAGTCAAGGACTTCCCTTGCAGTACCTTTGATCCAGGAAAATGCTTCTCACAGAATATTCTAGAGCTGAGGGAGGGATTTTCTAGTTGGAACCAGTATGGGAGACAGAGTGGGGCATCTGGGAGTCTCAGCTTGTTGTCTGCTTCCACATAATTCTAAATGTATATTGCAATATATGTGGTCACACATATTGATTGGGAATCACTTTAGAGATTTTAAGATGCTCCTTGAAGGTATTAAAATTAAGTACTTTTCTCCCATGAAGTCTGAGTATAAAATTTAAGAGCTAAGAATAGATACAATTTACTTTTTGTTAAAAGCAGTCAATTTATGCACTTAGCCACAGTGTTTACTAAAAAAAAGGCAGAATTATCCATTTTGATTACAGGTATTAAAAACAAAGATAACCTATTTTCAAATATTCATCAATTCATTATTTTAAAAATTGACTACAGATACACTTCATTTCAGACAGTAATATTTAAACCTCATTATAATGCATTTTTAGTTCATTATAAAAATATAGGTAATTTCTCTTATTTTCAAGTAAAAATTATTTGAATTTTTAAAAATTGCTATGAAACACATATCTCTTGTACATGGTTCTGAATATATGTTTATAATTTTTTATATTTATATTTTATCATGGCTAGTAAGTCCCAATTTAATCTATGCATTGTGAATAATACATTTGTTTTAATCCACTGCAAAATTCTTAAAATCTTTAACAAAATAATGCTTTTAAATATATAGCAGCTATTTCTGCTTTATTGTATAAATTATGTTTTGTAAGTTTTTTCCAGTGTTAAAATGAATATATTAACCCAGTATGTCCCCACTTTTCAAATAAAGTCATAAGTGCTTGTTAAGGAACAAATTAGTTGTTCAGCAACCTTTGGAATATAAATACCAAGTGTTTCAGCATCAGACTGTGAAATAAGGCAGAAATCAAAGGCTGTTTATGTTCTTTCTGAAATCTAGAATTTTTATTTGATTCAGGTAACTGGACAACAGACATGATGAGATGTTTTCTCTTTGAATAAATAACAGCTTAATTACATCATTGAAATAAAATATACTATGGGCTTAATACATTGTAAATATTACAGAAGTACTACTTTGTTATAGTAATTTAATGACTGAAGCTACATTTAATAACAATCTTACCAGTACTTGTATACAAAGTATTATACAGATTACCAACGAAGATATTGCAGCAGGTGCAAAGATGTTACCAGCTCAACAAACATCTAACAATACAATATTCTTCTAAGAGGAAAAGTAATAATGTTAGATTTACAGACAATAAAGAGTTGTTGTCCACTTGAAACACTTGAAATAAGAATCCAGATAATCTGGTATCTTGAATCATATTATTACAAGAAAAGGTTTTCTTTCTTGGGGACTCCAATCCCCAGTCAGCCTAGTACAGTAAGTTTACATGAAGATATCGTTTAGGATGCCACAGCAATGTCAAGAAACACTCCTATCTGAAAATCACTGATTTGTAGGCCACTGCTTAAACATCTGACTCTTTTTAAAACCTATTTACATACATTCAGCCCAAATCAGTAGATAGAAATGTTTTGAATATATTACAATAGGCATTGTTAAACATTTCATCAGAAGGCCAGTGCAAGACAATTGTTAATAGCCTTGGTCTGGCATTGAGGAGATTTTAAAATATCATACAAATGTACAGGTAGAGTGTGAGAAATTTAGATAAGTGTGTGATGTCGGTGGTCTTTTTTACAGATATGGAATGGCAAAAATTAGTCAACAGGACAGTAACAGAGTGCTACTCATCCAGGGCCTAATTCTCATCTGGGGGCTGGGCCTATTTCCTGCAGAGTCTGTTCAGGCAGCAGAAATTCCTCATCATCTAATAGTAGATAGACCTGACTCCAAGTGACACAGAGGGTTGGAGAGCCACTCCAGTGCAGGCACACATCTGCAACACTTCTCAAGCCCCTATCTCTTCTACAGATATTTCATAGGTAATTTCAAAAGCAGAGATTCTTGGAGACAGCATTACTTGTCTACTTGAAACTGTTAGTCCAGGACTGACTCCTCATTACAGAGACTTGCACAGGTCGGGAATCTGGCCCTTTCTGAAGATGTGTGATGGAGAAAGCAGGGTCACGACAAATATGGCATCCTCAGAGGAACGCACACAACTCTGATGTCAGGCCTGACAAACGCTTAAATTTAAATCATACTTAAATTAATTTGCCTAATTAAAGGACTAATTAATTAATGATACTAATGAATTGTATTCTCCAAGGGTAATACATTGGAGGGAACATTTTACTCACTGGGGTTAGGAAATGATATGAGTGCCAAAGTGAATCCAACTAATTTTAATGTTTTTTAAATGAAGGTAGTATAACACATACATGATATTTCACAGGTATTTCTTAGAATATCAATAAGCACCAAGTTTAGTGCTGTCAGCCCCATTGTCCCTTAATTTATTATATATAATTTAGGTCTTGAAAGCACAACACACTATAAAATCTACATGGCATATGCACAGATACAGTTTCCAAAATGAATTCTGGGATTTTTCTACATAAAAGAAGAATTTTGTCTCCACCAGTTCTTCAGCGCTGAGAGAGGAGAGGAGACACAGCCTGGTGAGCTCTGACACATGTGGATTAATGTTCAGGCTGATGCAGGTCAAAACTCTGGCAATTCTGAAATGAAAACTAGACCCTGGTGAGTTTTTTAGTCAATAATCTTCTCTCCTTCTAAAGAAATCATATTTATCCTCTAGCACCTTGAACCTCATCTGCATATTGCAGAGAGGTAAAGTGAAGGAACAAGCAGGCAGATTCAAAAGGCATGGAAAACGGAAAGGGTCCACACTTGGTCCATAGACCATTTTTCCACCTTAGACTATGAATTGCATGAAAGGAGCTACTCTAGCAGGCTGCTTGGGTATCCCAAGAGTTGGAAATCACCAGATACATGCTTGCTCTCCTAGTTTACTTCATGCTGTGCCAAATCTTAGGGCCCTGGAGGAGTCGTGCTTTTATCTCTATAAGGATATTTCTTGCAAGCAAGCTTTGGGAGGGTCAGGTGGCTTCTTAAGTGATATCATTCCTTACTGGAAAAGGGCCCAATTCTGAGCGTCAATGACACCATTTAGAGTATGAGAATGGGGCTTAAGAAGAAAGCAAACCCCGCTCCTCATTATGCCTTAGCATATATTGCTAACCATGAGCAGAAGAGGAAGCAGCCCAAAGTCACCCAGAGAAACCAGGTGCTGAGCTGTCACCAATGCATCTTGGGAAGACGCTCAGATGTCACAATCCCAGGTGTGTAGCTCCGCACTGCCCTTTTCTGTTTACCTCCTGCTTATTCTGGCCTCGTTAACCATCTGGGCCAAGCCTGGTAGTCCTCCTTTAGTTCAACACATGCACAGGGCCACTTAATCCAGAACCCACAGGCACAGTTGAAAGCTGTTACCATTAGAGATCTTTAAAACCATCTTCCTTTTAATAACTTACATATCCATAGCCTAAATCAAAACACTCTCATTTCTTGACAATACCACTGTAAATAAAAACCTCCTTTTCTGAATATCTGTCATTACTTATTCCTTGCTAAACACAAGTCTTACGTAATACCTGAAGAGAATTTTGTTACTACTTGACTCAATCTCTTAAGGGATGTGTGTGTGTGTGTGTGTGTGTGTGTGTGTGCGCGTGCGTGTGTTGGGGGTTTGGTGGTTCTGTATGGTTGTGGTCAATATTGTTTATCAACAAGTTTCTGGAAGAACTCAATTTTAGAAACTGAATTCATGTGCAAGAGTGCAGCAAGTGGTAGGATTTACACTTGGTCACAGTTTTCTCACTTTATGACATTACTATAATGGTTACAGTAGAGAAACACACATACACACAGTTATATTCACATTCACACACAGTATAATTTTACTGATCCAGACAATGCTTCTTTTCAGTTAAAAAAATGAAGACTGTTGTTTGGCCACCCAGGCATGAAATCTACTTAAACCTGGGAGATAAGAATGCAATACTTGTCAAGTAAACAGCAACTGCACAGTGACAACAATATACATTAAGATTGACACATGCTGTCTTAAGAGGTCCAGTAAAAAGCTAAAGACTAAAGAAAGTTAGAAACGTCAGCCCAAAAAGTCAATATGCTTTCTCTCTTCCATTCTGATTATAACCCAGTACTTGACAGAACACTATAGTCCAGCATATAATAAATGTCCTTCTAGGAAAATGAAAGGCTAATAAAATATTAAGTGTAAATGAATTCTGGTCAATACTTTGAATAGTCTTCAAATTCTTCCTGTTATAACAGTAAAATCAACCTTTACTGTTATTTCAACATCAAATTTAAATAGAGATATTTTAAGAAGTAGTAGGATTTCTAAAGTCATATCATGGGCAATAATACAAAAAAGGGGGTACCATGGGTATATTTCTATGGCACGCATTCCATTGTTCTCATGAAAGTTGACCTGTCAGTTTTTCAGAACAAGACAAATATAAACAACACACAGTAAACACTGACACACAACTCACAGGACACAACACAGTTTATAAAATGCCTCTACTTTAGTACTATAACTTGTAAAAATGGACACCACTGATACTACAGATACACTTCACATTATAATGAAAGTTGCAGTGACAAAGGCATTACTCATTTGATAGCATTTTTCTATGGGTACTTAGACTTCAAATTGTGTAGCCAAAGATTTCCCTCCTATTTCCTTAATACTTTGATTGACTGTTCAGTCACACAGGCAACAGCCTTTCTTCACTATAAACAACCTGGTGAGGGAGTCTGAGGACCTACACTACTGAAACGTCAGCAAAAACTAATAAATGAGTGTGGTGGCAATCACCTTTCACTGAGCATGATAGACTTAAAAAAATATAACCGATGAGACCACAGACTCTTCCAGGTTTTGAACTTAAAAAAAAAAAAAAAAGAATTTCTATTCTATTCCTGTACTGCCAGGGAGGCATCAGGCTCACAGAGCCTCGGCAGACGTGTCTGTGGATACAGACATGGTCACCTTGGCAATCTTGACGGTGCTCTTGATGCAGCTCTCCGCAGCCCTGTGAACACTGGCAGCGTTGTTTGCATGTTTGTGCAGGCAGTCCGAGTCCCCCATGCTGTTATCCAGAGGCTGGGCGGTGCCTTCACACGAAGGGAACATGCTCCGGAAAGCATGCCTCAGGTCTTTGCTCCTCAGAGCATAGATGATGGGGTTCACGGTGGAGTTCAGCAGGCAGAGCATACTACAGAAGGCAAACACCGTCTTAATGAGTTTGTTCATCTTCCCAAAGACATCATACACCATGATCGCAAGCAGAGGGCCCCAGCAGATGATCAACACCACCAGGATCAGGACCAGGGTCTTGGCCAGCCTAATGTCCATGCGGGCTTGGTCTGGCCGGGTCACCTGCACCTTGCCATCCTCTGATGTGTGGATGATGATGCTTTTCTGGGTGCCGCGCTGAATCATGCGGACCGCATGGCTGTGAGCCTTCCAGAGAATGTACATGTACGCATACACGATGAACAGCAGCAGCACGCTGGTCACCCCGATCCAGAACATCAAGTAGGTTTCGTCAATGAGCGGGAAAATGTCTGAGCAAACGGACTGCAGTTTCTTGCAGTTCCAGCCCAGGAGAGGCAGCACAGCTATCACAATTGCTATGGTCCACATCAGGCAAAAGGCCACCACAGCCTTGGGCCTGGTGACGATCCTCTTATAGGCCAGGGGCCTGTGAATCGATATGTACCTGTCGATGGCCGTGAGGAACAGGCTGCCCACCGAGGCAGTGAAGGAAGCCGTGACCCCACCCAGTTTGAACAGAAACACGTTGGGGCTGTCTTTGCGGTGGAACACATGGAAGTCGACGAAGCTGTAGACAAAGATGACGCTCCCCAGGAGATCTGCCACTGCCAGGCTGCCAATGAAGTGGTAGGAGGGCCGGCAGCGGAGGCTGCGGGAGTGCAGGATGACACAGAGCACCAGCAGGTTCTCCAGAACCGTGAAGGTGCCCAGCGTGAGGGACAGCACGGCGATGGCCAGCTGCTGGCTGGGGTTCAGGATCATGAAGCATTCCATGTCCATGAAGTTCTCCCCACACTGGATGTTCTCCTCATTCTCCTTGTAGGATGAGAGAGACTTGTTGTAAAACTCTGTCATGTTCAGCGGATCTCCCGGGACCAGCTGGGCGTTGTCTCCCGCAGTCATCTTTTCTTGGAAGGGACTTCCACGAAAGGAAGTTAATGGAAATTTCTGTGGGAAGTAGCCTAACTTGGACGCCATGTCGCCTTTGATGTCTTCGTACTGAATGTCATTCGAGCCCACGTAGAGGAGGTCTGTGGTGATGGTGCGGAACGTGGTGTCTGCGAGGCCATCTAGGATGGACTTCATAACCTCAGTCTTTGATCAGGCCAAGCTCAAAACGACTGAGAAAGAGACCCACAGGAGGGAATCCTAACAGGAGGGAAAAAAACAAGCTGAATGGAGAGAGAAAGCCAGAACAACAGAAGGCAAGCAACACTGAATACACTGCAAACGTGCACCCTCATGGTATTTCTCTGAACACAGGTCACATCTTTGTCAGATTCAGCCAACAAAAGGAGCCAGTCATCAGAGAAAAGCCCCTCCCCCCCAAAAAAGTTAGGGGATGGAGCAGCACACACGAGAGACATATGACTCTTTTATTATTGAAGCAGTCAGATTGAAGTCGCCATGTGAAACCTGTTTGGGTCTCCAGGGTTGAATAAGCCAAGCTAAATCAAATGCTTCTTGGGCACAATGTGCACCTCACAGTCATGTCAGGAAGCATTCAGCACCCGGCTGTTGTTGTCACATACACAAAAGGTCCTATGCCATAAGGGCAGAAAGAGCAACAACATGTCACCTGGTCTCTGCTTTTGAAGACTACAGCTTATCAGACGGGTAAGACTAAGTGTATAAGAAAACCGGAGTCTAACAGAGTAGAGAATCAGGTGTTGAGTTAGATAGTCTTTGTGTTAAGTGTAAAGGAGGAGGAGGCTGTTAAGAACCAGGGTAGCTCAAGGCTATGGTGGGAATATGTGCTCCACTAGGAAAGTTTTCACCCAGGTAAGGGGAGGTTTGGTCTACACCCTGGCTGAGATGAACTGTCTATTCAACTGAGAAAAATAGCCTAAAGGCCAAACTTGCATGGAGGCATAAGGAAGACCAAGATCTCTAATGCTGGGGAGGGATGAGACTGGAGGATGCTTCGTGATAGCACCCCTACTGGGCACTGTGGGGATGTAGCATGCCAGGTGACAGCACACAGGCCTGATGGAGTCCAAGACTTTCCATCTGGATGACGAAGAGGAGGGGACCAAATTTTAACACTCTTCAATTCTAAGCTAAGTGATTTGGTTTTGTTTTGAAATAAATGGCCAGAAATTAGATTTGACGATTTATAAATGTCCATTTAAAATGCAACTATTTGGCATACTGGTTAGGACACCTTGTGGGATGCCTGCATCCTATATCAGAGTGCCTGGGTTCAAGCCCATGCAATGCTTTTGATTCCAGCTTTCTACTAATGTGCACCCTGGGAGGTGGCAGGTGATGGCTCAAATACTTGAATCCCTGCTACCCATGTGAGAGACCTGAATGGGCTCCTAGTTGCAACCTTGTTGAGCCCCAGCTGTTGAAGGTATTTGGAGAGGGAGCCTGCAGATAGAAGATGAATTTCTTTTGCTCACTTTCTCTCCTTCTCTTTCTTTTTATCCTTCTCTCTCTCTTTCTCTTTCTCTCTCTCTCTTTCTGCCTTTCAAATAAATTTTTTAAAGTTTTAAATAAAATATGCCTGTTCATCTCTCTAGTTTATAAAAATATTAGAAGCCTTGAGTGACACAATTAATCATAAAAACAATTTTTATTAATTATTGTCTGTTGTCTTTAAATATAGCACTATATATTGGGAGCTGGAGATAGTTTTTACCTTGGAACAAATGAAAAAGTTCTGAGTCCTCTTGTTCAAATGCAAAGATCCTAACTTTCTAAATTCATAAATCATTCACGAGTGTGTTCATCCAGTCAACAAAGGATGGAGCACCCACTCTGTGCCAGGCACTGTACGAAGTGCTAGTGTCTGGATAGCATCAAGAAAGAGTCCCTGCCCACAGAGTGATGATGGGGACATGCAGGGTACTGTGGGGGCAGACAGTCTAGGGGGCTGAAGGAGGCTTCCCCAAGGAAAGAATGTTTATGCCAAGAACATGTAGCATTCATGTGGGTGGAGACTGGAAACGAAACCAGAGATGAGTTTTAAATTAATACCTCGGTGTCGTGATTTAAAAAAAAAAAAAAAAAAAAAAAAAAAACACAATTTGGAGCAGGCATAAAGTCTTCCTACTGTCACTCCAAATCCAAGGCAGCATCGATGCTCACCAGAATTAGGGCACCTACCTCCTGACCAGTTTTCCTGTTTTTTTCTGGTCCTAGCCCCTTATGATCACTTGTCACACAACTGCAGGAGTGATCTTTGTAAATGTATTGCTGATTACATGACTTTACATTTGCTGTAAAGACCAAATATAAACTCTTTCATGAAATTTCCCTCCCAGGCTCACAGTGCAGCTCTTGTTTCTGCCTTCTATGCTGCAGCCCACCTAAACTCCTTCCAGGTTCTGACCCTCAATCCCTTGCTCTCTATCCTCCTCATTTCCTGTTCTCCCTGAATGGAATAGGTTCTACCTCCCACTTACACACCCACAGGGTGAAGTTCAGTGAAAAGATCCCTGTGATAGAGTTCCTGCCTTTCTCTCCAACTCTCTTGCCACCTTGTTCTCATCACTTGGGCTGTACAAAATGATTTAAATCCCATTAACACATGAAATTAATTACTTTTCAACTTGGTGTCTTTGTGCCCTCTGCCCTGGATACTCCTCTGCCCAGTCACCTCTTCCTTGACAGTTTGCTGTAACCACCTCCTGTTGCTCTCTGCTTCCCATGGTTGCAGAACCCAGAATACCCAAGTAGAGTTCTACCATGGCATTTACTAAATTCCCTAATATTTCCTTTGAAGCTGTTCTACCTCTTCCTCCCACCCACCAGATGGTAAGCTCATTAAGGACCCTTTTGGGAAACTTATTTATCTTAGTATTTACTTGCAGCATTTAGTACAATGCCTGGCACATAAAAAGGGTCTCTAAATAAGTTGGTTAATATATATACATACAACATGTATGTATATAGACTCAAAACAGCTCTTTTATATTCAATGTAGAGGAGAGATTTTCTCAATTGTAATGAGAAATAAATTACATGTAACTCAAATCCAGGTTTCTAGCCTGTGAAACTGCCCAACTCATTTGTGCTAGAAAAAAAAATGTTCTATTTAGGAGAGGCTATTAGCATTTTAAATGAAACTGCCTGTATTCTAAATGTTCATGGACTAAACTCTATGACCTGGGCAACCAGGGCTCAGGAGGCAAATGTGAATATTGGCAAGACAATACTAAATGGTGAGTAGAGCAGGCCAGAGGGTGACCCAGCCCCTCCATGGTCTTAGAGCTCTTTTATAGGAAGGGTTAGGGCCTGAATCTCCCAGGAGTCATTTTTGTTATCAGTCAGAAAATTGAGTGTTTTTCCTTAGTGTGGGTTCTGGAGCCGGTTCCTGTACTGTCATAGAACAAGGCACGTGAGAGCCAACAAGTGCTTTACCAGAGACAGAAGTTCCAGGATGCAAACCACACCAGGGGACCCAGTGTGCAGTGAGAGGCTGCTACGCCAAACCGAATCAGGGCAGGGTCCCAGGGCAAAGGCTAGCTGCTGAAGCTGTCCAGATAAAGGGAGCAGAGACAAAGACCAGAGCCAGCAGGCACACCGTTGCCCATTTTGTCTTGGTTCCTTTTCCCAAAATCTCCCCCTAGTTTCCACCCTCAGCCAGGACCCAACTGTTAGTTCTTAAGATTCCTTAAGTCCCCTGTTTCTCTCTGTCTGGCAACTCTCTCTCAGATCCTCTTCTCTACAGAACTCAATCTGTGTGTCTCACCATTAGGCAGTTTTTCAGGAGGCAAGTCTTGCTCTTTGCAAACTTGTCTGCTAATCAACTCTGTTCACATATGAACATTTCATTCACAATCAAAGGGACACAGAAGACAGTCAGTCACAGGCTGGGAGACAGCTGTTCCTTACATGGTCCTGGCATATTTTCAAACTTAACTTTGGCCTCTCAATCCCTACCCACACTGAAACTCACAGCTCACAGGCTGAGGGAGCTAACTCGCTGCTCTTTGATGAGACCATCACATCCACACACCTTCTCCTTCCACTTGTTCCTGCATACTCATTTCCAAGATGTTAAATTGATCTTGCCAGACCTGTGTTGCTGCTGATTCCACATCTGAGCCCATCGTGACCAAATCTCCCCACCAGCAGCTAATCTTCCCAGCTTAATCCTCATAAAGGCATTTCATCATAATTGCCATGTTCATTTCCTTAGCTGGATGGGGTTTCCAAACACAGAACAGTGACTTTTTTTCTTATGTGATTTACTACCCTGAGCGGAAGGGAGAGGGCTGGGCTCAGACAGCAGCATTCACATGCACCTAATGAGAAAGCAGTTAGATTCTATCAGCTGATACATTAACACAGGGATTTAATTACTTATTTGTCTTTTCTTAAAATGAGAGGAGAGATAAATAATTAACTCAGTGGACTTTCGGCCTGAAAACCAAAGCTTGAGCCCATATTTCTAAGTAGTTGCTGGGAGTCATCTTCCCTCAAGTAACTACCTCTCCCTTCGCACTTCCCAATTAGCAAATAGTATGGAAACTTTGACTATGTATATACTAGATTCATGAGATTTAAAATGCAAAAGGTACTGAACAAAATAGCCTGAGAAATTACTTTCTCATTACATTATTCCAGCCAATCGGTTTTCCTCTCAGATGCAAGAAATAAGTTTTGTGTTGATTTTTCCAGAGATATTCATTGTTAATTCAAGCAAACATACATGATGTCTCAGAGTGTACGGAAAATGAAATTAAGAGATAAGCATGTGGTGCAGTGGATGAGGCCACTGGTTGGGATGTCTGCATCTCATATTGGAGGCCTGCTTCCTCTCCAGCTTCCTGCTGATGCACCTGGGAGGCAGCAAAAGATGGCCAAAGTACTTAAGTTCCTGCCATTCGTGGGAGACCCTGGCAGAGTTCCTGGTTCCTGGATTTGCCTGGCCCAGCCCCAGGTATTGAAGGCTCCTGGGGAGTGAAAAATCCATGAGTGGAAGATCTCTGTGTGTGTGCACAGACGTGTCTGTCACTCTGCCTTTCAAACAAATCTTTTTTAAAAGATAAATCTATTTTGCTGCTGAAAATTTTTGAATTCCAGGCCTAATTTTTTCATAATACACATTTTTCATGAAACTTCTGAAGGCCCTGCTTCTGGATTTCAAAAATTTTTGTAACAAAATCAACTTATCTTTTAACTCCACTTTTCCATGA